AAGGAACTGCCGTGGTTGGTTATCCAAATGTGAGAGAAACGGACGCTCTGGGTCGTGTCTACACTGTACATCCCAATAACTTTGAATGCTTTTTTCTACGACTCTTACTTCATACAGTCAGAGGTCTTACTTCATTTGAAGCTCTGCGGACTGTAAATGGTCGGATCTGTGCGACATTTCGTGAGGCATGTCAATTACATGGATTACTGGAAGATGACCAGCAATGGGATGCCACGATGTCTGAAGCAGCTGCAGCTCAATCACCAGCAAGATTGAGAAATCTATTTGCACTGATACTAACCACATGTGGACCGTCCAATCCAAAACAATTATGGGAGTCGTACAAAGAAAGTTTAACCGAAGACATTCTTAGAGAAGCGCGCAGACAAAATCCTGGAATGAATTTAGATTACACACCCGATATGTTCAATCAAGTGCTGCTTATTCTCGAAGACAAAACTTTACAGATGGCTGGCAAAAACCTTGATGATTTACACCTTCCCACTCCTCAGCGAAATCTTGGTGATAGATTGAGCAGCGAAATGCTCAGAGAAACAAGTTATGATGTGAAAGAGTTGGATGCCTATGTAGCAGCAAATGAACCATTGTTGGTGCCAGATCAAAGAGCTGCATACAACGCTATTTTGGGTCAGATCAAGGAGAAAGCTGCTGGAATAATATTTCTTGATGCACCAGGTGGAACTGGGAAGACATTTGTCATTGATTTACTCTTGGCTAAAATTCGCAAAGAGTCAAAAATTGCGATTGCAGTCGCTTCTTCGGGTATTGCTGCTACGCTGCTCCAAGGTGGTCGCACTGCTCACTCAACATTAAAGTTGCCTTTCAAATTTATGCACGATGAACATCATCTCTGTAGTATTCGCAAAGGAACTGGCGAAGCAAAGATTCTAGAAGTATGTGAACTTATTGTATGGGACGAGTGTACAATGGCTCACAGGTATGCATTAGAAGCCTTAAATAATACTCTACAAGATCTTCGCGGTAATGGAAAAAATATGGGTGGAGTAGTTGTGCTACTTGCTGGGAACTTTAGGCAAACATTGCCTGTTATTCAAAAGGGTACAATGGCTGATGAGCTTAAAGCTTGCTTGAAATCTTCATATCTCTGGAGACATGTTAAATCACTAACAC